TCCTGCTGGGCCTTCTGTTTTCCTGTCCCCTCCCCTCGCTCATGGGCCTCTGCGGGGCCTGTGCTGGGCCTCCAGTCTCCACCTCTCCTGCCTCCCGGCCACGTGCCCGCCCTCTGTGCCTGAACCACACCTCACCCTGTGCATCTGTCTACACGAGCGATTTTCCACGGGCGTGCCCGGTCCCCGGGGGCGCGGCACCGAACTGTGCAGGCTGGGCACAGGCCTGTCCCCTTACAGTGCCCGATAAAGTATGACGCCCTGGCTTCAAGTTGGGGCCTAAAGAAATGCTGCTTGGCCGTTTCAGATCTTAGAAAACGTAAAGCACAATTCCTTAGAAAGAAGCACCTGAGAAAAAAGGAAAAAGAGAAAAAAGAAAGAAAGAAAGACAGAAAGAGGAAAACATGGCAATAGCCTTGGAAAGAAGGCAGTGCCCTGAATCAACAGTCAGGTGTGGGGTGTTTTAAAAACTGCTGCGCCACACGAGTGGGCCGAGGCACATGTGTTGGAAATCGCAGCTCCATGGCCTGTGCCCTCGACACGCATCTCAAACATCATTTTAAATGTCAAATCACCGGGTGACCTCCAGGGGGTGGGGGGAGGGGAGAAGAGGGTCCAGGGGGGAGGCAATGGTGATGGAAGGAGACTTGACTTGGGGGTGAACAGACAGTACAATATACACATGAGGTTCTGTGCAACTGTGCTGCTGAAAACCAAATCCTTGTGTGAACCAGGGGCACCCCAGTGAGATAAATCACAAATAAATAAAAGGTGGGGCCTTTGAGGGGAGAGCCCTTGTGAATAGGATGCACACCCAGTTGAAAGACACCCCTACTAGACTTACTGGGGAGATCACTCTGTAACCTTAAAATGTCTAACCACTACATGGTGCACCTGAATCTAAAACTAGATGTCAACTCTAATTGAAAAAAACTTAGATTATTAAAAATACATAGACATATACTGCAGAGTGACCTTTAAAAAGTATAAATCAGATCATGTCAGTGTCGTGTCTAAAGGCCTTGCTGGCTCCAGCAGCCGTCAGCAGTGCAGACGGACCCACTGCTGGGACAGACTCACACAGCTGGGAGAGAAGTGGCCCATCTCCTCCCCCGTGGGGCCTCTGTCCTGTCCGGGTGGCCTCTCGTGCTGGTGCAGGCAGAGCTGGGCTGCCCTGAGAGGGGGCTAAGCGCTCACTCGGCTGCTTCATTCTAGAGTGGGAGCAGACACAGAACAAAATTTTAAAAACCCTTAATGATTCCAACAGCATTTTTACCCCACACAAAGGATCCTTAGCTGCCCACCCACCCCCCCTCCCATGCACCCCAGCCCGCCTGGCTCACCCAGCCCTTAGGGAGAGGCTGGGAGGAGACTGCCCGGGCAGCCGGTTACCACGCTTCTGCTAGGACATCTGAACACAACTGCACTTCTCTTAAGAAGCAAATGGAGGGAGGCATCTGCCAGGATCCGCACATACGAGGGGACAAACCTCTTCATGACACAGTGACAGGGTCACAGCCCCATGACCCCAGCATGCTCTCGCCCCACCACCACATCCCAAGGACCCAGGATTCACCCGCAGCTGGAAGCAGCTCCCTGGCCTCTGAGAACCCAGGGACCCTCTGCAGAGCCCTTCCACATGGCTGCTCTCACGGGACTGCGGGGCCTGGACTCCTGAAGTGCGGGCATGTGGCCTACTTGGACTTTTTAATTCCACTCTGGCAGAGAAAGCCAGGCCTGGGCCTCATGTCCTTCACTGCTGCAGCTGCTGTGAGGAACAGCATGGAGGTTCCCCCAGAACACAACAAACCCCAGAACTACCAGGTGCTCCAGCACCCCCGCCCCTGGTGGTTCATCAAAGAACTGAAGGCGCATCTGGAAGAGATGCGTGCACAGCCTTGTTCACAGCGGCGTTTCCCACAGTGGCGAAAACGTGGACGCAACTCAAGGGTTCCACTGACAGGTGAATGAGTAAACACAATGTGGCCGATGGATAAAATAGAATATTATTCCTCCTTAAAGGAAGGACATCTCGAGAGATCCAGTATGGCAGAGGAGCAATTGCATATCACACTTGCCTCCTTTGAGGACCAAAATGAAGGTACAATTAAAACAGAGAGCCAGTCACCAGAACAACCAACTGAAGACCAGCTGAAGAGAAGTCTTATAACCAAGGATTTCAAGAGGCCGCCACAGGGAGGCCGGTCGGAAGTGCAGAGACACGAAAAGGGGACACGCCCCGCACCTCCCGGCTCCCAGCTGTCCTGCCCCAGTGACCTTGGCCTCCCAGCAGAGTCTTGGACTGACTCAGGGCCCTCAGGACCCACACAAGGGACGTTCCTGGAGCACCCGACTCAGGCGATCAGGAGACTGTACCACTGGGTCCCACGGGACACCCACACCATGAGGCCGCCCTGCCAACACTGGGGATCGTGGCAGATCTACCTAATACACAGAAACAAACACAGAGAGGCGGCCAAAGCGGGGACACAGAGCAGCAGCCCAAGTGGAAAACAGAAGGAATCTCCAGAGAAACAGCCAAATGCAGTGCACGCCGGAACTCAACCAGAGAGAGTCCACAGCAACAGAGCCCAAGGATACTCCCAAAACTGAGGGGAAGAGCGGACGCAATTAGGACTGAAACGAAGAGATAGTAAGCATGAAAAAGGACAGAGAAGCAGTAAAAAAAAATAAGTTAGAAGTGAAGGACATAACATCTGAAATGAATATAGTAGAAGGAACAAGTAGTTGGATGAAGGAGAGGATCAAACCAGCTATTTGGAAGACAAGATGGCAGGAAACACAACCAGAACAGAGAAAAATATTTAAAAATGAAAACAGTTGAAAAGACCTGCGGGACGACATGAGGCGTAACAACACCCACATCACAGCGGCACCAGGGGAGGAAGAGGAAGAGCACAGGACAGACACCTATTGGAGGTGATCATGACTAAACACTTCCCTACCCTGGCTCTGGCCGGGTGGGCCAGTTCGTTGGAGGGTCTTCCACAAAGCTGATGGGTTGGGTCCCCAGTTGGGGCTCACACAGGAGGCAACCGATCCATGTTCTTCTCTCCCCGTTCTTCTCTGTAAGCATGTCTTCAGGTAAGGAAAAAAAAAAGCCCTGGCTGGTTTGGCTCAGTGGACTCAGTGCCAGCCTGTGGACCCAAAGGTCACTGGTTCAATTCCCAGTCAAGGCACATGCCTGGGTTGGGGGCCAGGTCCACAGTTGGGGACATGCAACAGGCAACTGATGGATGTGTCTCTTGCACATCGATGTTTCTCCTCTTCTTTTCCTCTCTCCCTCCCTCTTGCTCTTAAAATAAGTACAGAAAATATATTTTTTAAACTCCCTAATCTGGAGAAGGAAAAAGATACACAAGGCCAAAAGCACAGAGAGTCCCAAACAAGTGAACCCAAACAGGCTCCCACCAAGACACATCATATTTAAGGGAACAAAGATTAAAGACACAGAGAATCTTAAGAGCAGCAAGAGACACAGCCCTACCTACAGGGCGGCTCCTGTAAGTCTGTCAGCTGATTTCTCAGCAGACATTTTAGGCAAGAAGGGTTGGCCCATAATAGTCAAAGGGATGAAAAGCAAGGACCTCCAACCAAGACTACTCCACCCAGCAAGGCTGTCATTTAACACTGAAGGAGACTTGCCTTGGCTGGGAGCTCAGTTGGTTAGAGTGTCGTGCCAACATGCCAAGGTTGCAGGTCTCATCCCTGTTCAGGGCACATACCAGAAGCAACTAATGAATGCATCAATACGTGGAACAACAGATTGATGTTTCTCTCTCTCTCTCCCTTCTCTCTATCTAAATCACTTAAAAGAAAAAGAAAAAAACACAGAACCCAAATAAAATCAGACATGAAAGAGAAGTAACAACCGACTCCACAGAAATACAAAGCCGTGTAAGGAAACAGTACAAACAACTACAAGCCAACACAGTGGACAATCTGGACAAAATGGGTGAAGTCCTTGAAACACACCACCTTTCCAACTGAATCGGGAAGAAGTGGAAATTCTGAATAGACCAACTCAATAGACCAATGAATAAAATTGAAGTAGTAACAAGAAGCAAAAGTCCTGAACCAGAGGGCTTCACAGGTGAATTCTACCAAACACTCAAAGAAGTCTTTGAACTAACACCCGTCTTTCTCAAACTATTCCAAGAAACTCCAGAGGAGGGAAGACTCCCAAGCTGCTTTTACAAGGCCAGCATTGTGCTAATTCCAAAACCAGATAAAGACACGACAAAGAAAGAAAATTATAGGCAATATCCCTGTTGAGCACAGATGCTAAAATTCTCAGCAAAATTTGAGCCAACCAGATCCAGCAACATGTATAAGATTCTACACCACAATCAAGTGGACTTAACAAAGCTCCTTGCAGTCCAAGGATGCAAGGTTGGTGTCATATCCACAAATCAGTAACTGTGATACACCATATGAACAAAATGAAGGGTGAAAATCACCTGATCATATTGACAGATGAAGGAAGAGCATTTGATAAAACTGAGCACTGGTGACAAAGAACTCTCAGCAACAGGGATGAAGGGGACACACCTCAACACAAAGGCCACTTAGGACAACCTCATGACCAACATCATACTCAGCAGGAAACAACTGAAAGCGTCTCCCTTAAGACTGGGGGCAAGGCAGGGATGCCTGCACTCACCACCCTCATCCAACACAGCGCTGGGGTCCTAGTGGCAGTAGCTGGACAAGGGGACAAGGGCGTCCACATCGCAAAGGAGGAAGTGACACTGTCACTACTTGCAGGTTCTGTACACAGAGACCCTCAAGGTCCACCAAATGCTCCTAGAACTGACATGAATCCGGTAAAGTAGCAGGACACAAAATAAACACCCAGAAATCAGCTGCATTTTCAATGCACCAACAACGAACCACCAAAAGGGTGGTTCTCTTAGTTAAGAGAACAATCCCATTTACAGCTACATCAAAAAAAAAAAAACAAAAAAAACCAAAACACCCTAGGAGTAAACTTTACTGAGTACATTAAAGACCTTCTGGGCACCTCGGCTGGGTTGTGAAGGATGTCAAGGAGCAGTGCCTGTGAGTGATGCTCCTCAAAGATCTGCGATGATCGGGCGGCACCGTCGGTGGAATGAGTGCTTTTTAATCATCGGCAGATCACAGCTGCAGACGCGATACTTATACTGTCCAGGTAAGGGGTGATTAATAATTTTCTTCTATGTACTTGGCAGAAGGGTGCTCAGAATGAGGGAATGATGATACCTCATCTTCATATGCGTTCTCCTTCCACAGGTGGCTTCGATTTATCTTCCAACGTGGCAGAGAAGAGGGACAAGCAATGCTGGTGGGTGGAATCAACACACCCCATTCAGCCAGGGGCTAAACGAAGATGAGGGACACAAAGTGACTCATCAAAAGTCTGACACTTACTCAGCAGTCAAGCCAGGGAGAGTTGAATTGCCCATCAGTGACTCTGCCCATGAAAGTCATAACGGTAAGTGGTCCTAAGTAACTTTTCAGCATTTGAACTCAGTGAAATCTACTTGGTCCTTGTGTCCCACGATGTGGGCCAGGGAGCCACCACGGCTCATCCTCTCCACACAGGGACTCAGGGACCCAGGGCTTCTCTGCTGTGTGGTTCCACCAAGTGCCCCGGAGGCTTGCTGTCCCTCTGAATTCAGCTGGCAAGGAGCACAGACCAGTGGTGTGCAGGACAGACGGACAGGTGGTGTCGGGAAGGCCTGGGAGGACCCACGACGGCTGGTCCCGCCTCTGTCCAGACCTGAACTGCCTGGTGAGAGGGGCTCAGACACGGAGCAGCACGAACACGGTGCGTCTGGGCACAGGGACGGCACGCCCACCTTTCGGTCCCGGTGCGGTGCGTGTGCAGCCAACTCCGTGCACCCTCTTCAGGAAGAGCAACCAGAGGAGAAGAAAATAAAAGTGCGTCCTGCCAATCAACACAGCACTTCAGAGGACTGTGAGTAAAGACAACACCGGGCACTGATTTCTGCACAGCAGAAAGTCCACCTGCTGTCCACTCACTCTCTTCCTCCCCTGTGTTCCTTTAAAGAGACCACATCGTTCTGAAGCCACCAGCATGGAGCAGGTCCAGAGCCAGCCGCCCCCTCACTGATGACAACCAAGAGCTCAGGACAGAACAGAGAAGCCGGTGTCCATGGATTCTAGAGCGAGCAGCAGCGCACAGACTGGGGATGGAAGTCAGGACTGGACGAGTGACCAGCATGGCAGTGACCTGGTGGGTCCCCGCCTGCATCTAAGCTCTGTCCTAAAGGTGGTGAGTCTCAGCACTGCTCCATGAGCAGGGTGGGAAGGATGCAGAAAGGACTGGACAGGAGCCTGTCAGAGCCACAGTGGGGGCTGCTGGGCACCCTTCCCCCTCCTCCTCTCCTGGCCCTGCTGCTGCCCTCAAGGTGCAGCCATGGCCAGGGAAGAAGATCCTGAAATGCAAAGGAAAAACCCTGTCTCTGGCGAGGACCTCAGAAAATGGGCTTTGTGCTACACAATTTGGGGAATCCCGCTTATTTTCTCTCTCTTTTTCCTCTTGCCAGTTAGCCCTGAAAACCACCCAGTTCTGTGAAGGGTCCACGCAGTGCATGAAGAGCTTCTGAGAGAAACCAGAGCTTCCCACTAAAGGACAGGGAAGGTGGCAGAATCCAGCACAAGATGTGCTGATGGTGAGCTGGGGCTATGAGAGCGCACCCTGGAGGCCACCTCGGGCTCTGCGCCACGCTGGTGCTGAGGTCAGCCCTGCAGACACTGAGACAGGACTCACAGACTTAATAGGTGGTGTCACCCTCTGCTGTGTAGTGGTGGGGAGACAGACTACACAACCCCGTTTGGAAAGGAGAAAGGGCAGCACATCCATAGGCAGCTTCATCCGAAGTTCGGAGGGAGAATCTGATTGAATGTGAACAGGCACAGAGGTCAAGCAGAAGAAGGCCAGAGTCCTGGAGCCTGGCCTGCAGCCCTGCCCCGCCCCGCCCTGGATTTTAGATTGGAGAACAAGCTCATTTTGGCAAATAAATGGATTTTTCTTTTGTGCTTTCAGTTTTTCCTGTTGCCTATGTTATGGACTAAATTTCTTGTCTGAAAGGTAAACATAAGCAAGTGAAGAGCAGCTCTCAGGAGCCCCCGTCTGCTAGGGAAGTGCTGATCCAGCAGGTGCACAGGCCCAGCCTGACCTCAGCGCCAGGGAGACCAGGCGCAGTTTGGTGCCCCTCAGTGGGTGCGCCTGGTGGGGTCGGGCTGTGCCTGCCGATGGCCCAGCAGTCCTCCCGGTTCTGATGGAAAACGTGGAGACACCATGACCAAATCCACGATACAACCAAGGCATGGCACCTGATTTTAAGTCACACGGGATACACTTTGTTGCCGTTGGGGGCAAGTGGTGTGTGTGAGTAACAGGCCTCCACCAGGAGCTGGCCCGCCCAAATGCTGTGCCTTCCATGACACATGAGACAGTTCACCATCAAATCACACTCAGGACTAGGGCGTCAGAACTAACGCCTGCAAGGCCGTATGGTCCCTTCTCTGCCCGTGGTCCCAGTCACCCTACTCTATGTTGTACCTACTTCTACAGACCACCTCACCTGCCCAGAGGTGGGCAGGACGCAGAGACAGGGAAAGAGAAGCGGGGAGGTTTCCCCTCCGCAGGAGACCTGGACAGCCGAGCATTTGCTGGGGGAGAGAGTCCGCAGCATCTGAGGCATTTAGAGTGTGGCACATGTGACCACCAGGGCACAAAAACCTCCTACTCCTCCGAGGTTTGCTGGCCTCCGCTCCCCCTCCGTGAGACCCCTGCTGTATACACTGGTCACTTTGTGGGTATAACCGTCACGCACCTACGGGGGTAGGAAGTACCAGACAAAATGAGCTCAAATTCAAGGAAAAATAATAACCATCCTCACAGGTGTGTTTGGGAAGTCAGCCCACCTCTGACTACACACAGGTCTCACTTGAAAACATTTGAACACTATCACTTCATAGGAATTCCTTTGACTTTATCACCCTTACCCCTGCCTGCTGTCAAACAACCAGAGAAATATGCCCGGTCTTCACCGTGGGGCACTTCCCTGGGGGTACTAGAGTGGGAGCCAAACCTGAGGAACTGCAGGGACAGGCAGGAGGCAGCCCCCTGGCACCGGACGGCCCCGGGTGTGAGGGACTAAATGCTTTCATTAAGAGACCCTCCACCCTGCCCAGTGCCACCCTGATGTCCTCTACCACAGTCGCTGAATTTATCGTTGCTGGCACTTTAAGTGGACTGCAGCTTACCTCGAGCTGTGAATTCAGCAGAATTTCACTCCATTCACCCCCACTCTGCTCTGCAGATTCAGGTCTATTCCTCAGCTGATTCCAAGGCAGTGAATCAGAATTCTTTCTTTTATAACGAGAAAAAAATTACTTTAGCCACAGAGCAAAAGAGAATAAATGAGAATTCTGTTTCACCTCCAGAAGGGACAGACAAGGGGGAAGGTACTGATTTACATACATGAACAGTTTATGTTATGCCGGGTGCTGGTTCTGTGATTATACTTTTAAAGTTAGGAAACACTTTGGCCCCTGAAATGGCCAGGGACAGGCTCAGCCAATGGAAATCTCCAGAGTGTTCACTCGGCTGCCTCGCACAGAGCAGAGGAACATACCTGAAGTCGATGTTTTATTGAACCACTTTATTGGCTTTTTCTGAATCTTGGGCATAATCACCAACATCAGTGGTGAACATTTTGATAATTTTTTGATTTCCAGGGCGGTGGGTACCCTAACCCCAGCGTGCTCAGGAGTCAAGGGCACCCACGGGAACAGCTTTTCAAAGAGGTGCCATTTCCTGAGGTTCTGGGTGCAGCCCAGCACTGTTCTCTCCCCACCAATCACAACAGTCAGCCTGACAGCAGCATTATACACGGAGGGACTATTATCGCTGCTGTACACATGAAGACACAGGCAGGCAGAGGGCGAGTCCCAGTCAGGGCACAGGCCTGGGGTACAAGCCAAGTCCCTGGTGTGGGGCAGGCAAGAGGCAACCACACACTGATGTTTCTCTCCCTCTTTTTCTCCCTCCCTTCCCCTCTAAAAATAACTCAATATAAAGATATAGGTTTTTTTTTAGATTTTATTTGTTTATCTTTAGAGGGGAAGGGAAGGAGACAGGGAGAGAAACATCAATGTGTGGTTGCCTTCGTGCATCCCCTGCTGGGAACTGGCCTGCAGGGAACGGGCTTGCAACCCAGGCATGTGCCCTGACTAAGAATGGAACCGCGACTGTCTGGTTCGCAGGCCCATGCACAATCCACTGAGCTACACCAGCCAGGGCAAAGATATAGATTTTGCATGATGGCACATGGCTGTCAAACAGAACATCTCTCTGAAGGCTGGCCTGTTTGCTACTCTGGCCACTGGGTGGGGACAGTGTGAAGGAGAGGTTCGAAGAGCTGGACAGGACGGTGGCTGGCCCAGCAGCACCACCACAGCTTGTGCCCTGTGCCTCCAAGACGCACCCTCGTTGTGCGTCACCATCTTCGGTGGTGAGTTAAGTGGCCAGGCTCCTGTCCAGATCCCCACAGGTGACTGCCTCGGGGTACCTGTAACAGACCCGGCCTGTGCTGCAGCATCCCTTCCACAACCACAGTGTGCCCTTGGCCCCCTTGAACTTTTACATGCTCTCCCTTCCCTTAACAGCAATACAGTTGAAGTTTAAATAAAGCAGCAACCAACACTCTTTCTTCCGTTTGGTCACAGCCAACCTGTTGAACATTTCACAGGGAGCACACTGTTAACAGTTCCAAAGCAGGAGGCAGGAAGGTCGCATGGATTTGTCCCTGCAGCAGGAGGTCGATGCGGCCTGACTGTCATGAAGACAGAGAGCTCGGGGCTGCGGGGCCCAGCAGCTCAGTACCCTCTGACTCTCTGCAGCTGCCACTGAAATGGGGCCTGTGCTGGGCTCCGGGACCACCCGTGTCCCCCAGACTCCTGCACAGCAGCTGAGCTTGTCTTACTCACCCTGGGCCTGGGCTCCAAGATCAGCCCTGGATCCTTCCAGAGGCTGCGGGCGGGAGTCTCATGTGCTGTAGGGGCGTGAGGAGCTGGGAGGAGGGGCAGAGACCTCAGCCTCCCTTCTCTGGCCGCCTCCCAGAGGCCCCAGGAGGCTCTGGGGTCCCCAGACTCAGGTTCCGACCCCTGGATGTGAACACCCTTGCTGACACCCTCCTCCGCTCTTTTAAACAAACATGTTAAATCACTAAACTGGGAGTCCTTCCCGAGAGGACAAGGTTAAATTGGCTTGCTAGTCTAGTACTTCCCATACACCTGAAGCCCAATATGCTGAAGGAATAGCTTCAAATACTACTTGTCCATGACCCCGTGGGACAGGGTACACACGGTCTATAAAACTCATCCTATAACATGTTAGTAGATTCTGTTGAACGTTTCTTAGTTAACTATCCCATCACCCATCTAAAGCCTCAGCCAAAACCAAAGATTGCTCAACACACTGCATACAGCGGGCACGTGATTTACTTTGCGTGTCTGCCAAAATCTGTAGCAGTGGGCACTGACTACATCGGTCCCTGATGCAAATCGAAACATTACAGGGTAGAGGTGTTTCTTGTTTTAATGTCCAAAATAACGGGAACACTACGTACACCAAGGGCCTCCACGTAAAATATTAGGTAAAATTAGGTATCGCTTCAGTTTTAAAACCGTAACAATATGAATTTTAGGACTGAAGCTGTCTGTTTGTAAACTGCCTAACCTCAGGATGGACCAAACACTGCACTTAGGTATTTCAGCTTCACAAACCATTGGAGTGAGTTAAATATTTTATTTATTTATTAAACTTTGAGGGCAGAAGATACAGCCACATTTTAATGTTTACAAAGAAGTTGATTTTTACCCAAAGAAAACTGGCTTTTCATACCTGGGAAGTTACTTGTTCAATTTGAATCAAAGTGACAGCATGTGCTACACATCAGTATTTCTGAGTTTATGAAACAGATATTTGATACCAAATACAAAGAACACACAATTGATTTTTTAAAGATAATGCTAAATTTACTATTTTAGACATACTCTTTCTCTCTAGAAGTCTGTAAAATCACCTTTAATTACTAACCTGTTCCTCACCCTCAATATAGTCAATGAAAATCACAATTGGATTAGAGTCTGAGGTTTAAAAAGAAAAAGTAAGACATTTACTAAGGTTTCCTTTTTTTTTTTCAGCTTCTTAGCCAATCCCTAATCAATCATGGTCCAGATGTTTTTCTTAACAGAACCCTACACTCTTCATTATAAGTCAAAAACAATAGTCTAATGTTAAAATAATAGTGGAACCGCTGGTTCACTTTGAATTCAACAGCTTTCCAGTTTTGTTATAGAAAATAATTTTTTTAAAAATGTATTTGTGCCCTGGCTGGTGTGGCTCAGTGGATTGAGTGCAGGGCTATGAACCAAACAAGGGCATTCCCAGTCAAGACACGTGCGTGGGTTGGAGGCCAGTTCCCAGCAGGGGACATGCACAAAACGCAACCATACACTGATATTTCTCTCTCACCTTCCCTTCTCCTCTAAAGATAAATTAATAAAACCTTTTTAAAAAAATGTTTAAAACATATGTTTGTGTGATTATGTGTCTCAATCCATAAATCCACTACTCCAGCCCACTGTTTGGATAAATACAGAGATTCAAAGAAGAAAGTGACCCCAGCTAATTCTCTTCTCAGTATTTTTAAACAATGTCTCTGCATTAAGGGAGTGTGCCCACTACAAATTATACCAATAGTTACTATTTACCTAGCCCCTCCTATGGACGGGCATGGGTGCTGGTCACTTCCCATATATGCTTTTATTTACTCCTCAGAGAACCCCTGCAAGAAAGATATTATCTCCACCTCACAGATGAGAAAACAAAGACAGAAAGAAGATACAAGGCTGCAAAGTGGCAGAGCCTGCGTTGGTCCACTTGGAAGTTCATGCCCGTTATATTAAGCTACAGTGTCTTGAGCTCCTCAAAGATGTACTAAAGTTTTCTCTAGGTTTCCCAAGCAGAACTATTTCTCTGAGACCAGTACAACTGTTTGTAGTAATAGGCTATCTGCACCATCAATTAATGCAGTCTTGCCAAAAGGATAGGACTGACAAGGAGTAAACAATTCTTGTATCAGGGGACTATCAGAAAATGCAGAGTTAACTCAACACACAGGAACTCCGGCTGATCTTTTCCGCATGGCACACGAAAGTTCTACTAGGGATAATTAGCCCCGAGTTTTTCCATATTCATTTTAGTGGTATTAGATACACATTCCACCCTGCTACTTGTTGAAATATAGTCACCTCGTGCGAAAAAACAAAAAAGAAAAATCGTATTACAAAAAAGCCAAACAAATAGGTAAATAAATGTACACTTTAGGCAACACTCATCTCTTTTCCTCCAAGCTCTACTCCTTCCTGTTTCTCCAGCAGCACAGCAGTCACATGACGCCTATTCGCCCAATAAGGGAGCTGGGTCTGGAAACCAGTCCCAGGACCACAAGTGCTGGGCAGCTGGCCCCAGGGAGGGAGGGGTCTGGGTGGGCTCCGAGGCCGAAGAGCTGCTGCTCTCTGTTTTCTGAACAGGCCACACTCACCCTGAGAAGGACCAGCCCCTGCCCCCTGAGACTGAGCCAGGGCAACTGCGGGCGTTAAAGGGCGATGAGACTCTTTCCCTCTGATTTCTTCCCTAACCAACCAAACCACCATAACTGAACAGTCACCCTTGCCTGCAGCCACTGCTCAATCGACACCGCGTTGCGCATGGGTTCCCGGGGCGAATTCCCTCCCAGACGTCCACTCCCGGGCCTGGAATCAGTTCTGTCCTTGCCCAGTCCCCTCTGCCCTTCCACAGAATACCCCGCCCCTCCCCCCCCCACCCCCCGCCTCACACCCCGTTTGTCAAGGCGGTTAATTCTCCGCGGACTACAGATCCTCTTCTCCCCCACCGCCCCCTCTTGAGACCTGGAAAAGCAGAGTATCCCCCCCCCCCCGCCCCCGCACTTAATAAGTGCTTCTGGCATTCGGCTGGGACTCTGTTCCCAGCGTCCAGCGGTCAGTGCAGCAGCCACCAACAAACCGACCTCGGTCCCCTAGAACGAGTGCTGTCCCCATGACAGGGGCCAAGCTGCGCACAAAGTCCAGGAAGGATCTTCTCCACCGTCCAGCTGGTTCACGGGACCAACGACGTGCCCCTCGGGAGAGCTTGGGGCTGGAGTTAACCCTCCCGGCGCCACCGAGCAAGCCCCGGGGAGATGCCAATCCCCCAAGCACTTTGAATGTGCTAAGAGCCCAACTTTGCCCTTCTCGAGCCCCCCCACTCCCACCCCAAACTACGCGGGGCTTTTCAGCCAAAAGGAACGAACCCTTCAGCTGCCAACCGCAGCTACCAACACACGGGACACTCCCCGGGCACCGGGGAGGGGAGCGCATAGGCCCTCGAGCCCCCGTTGCGCGCCCCCACCCCAGGCTGCTTGGAGGGGAGGGGCCCCACCTGGCCATTGCTGGGGGTGCGTGGAGGCTGCACCGGGCTGACGCCAGAGGCCCGCACTTTGATGACACTAGACTCCGAGGAAGGCGGTCTGGCCCAGCCCTGCAGCCCCACCTCCTCCCTCCAGAAGAGCCCGCGGCACCAGTCCAGCCCGCGCCGCAGGACACAAGCATGAAGGCTGCCTGGCCGCGGTTTCCGCACCAGCTGGCCTGGCCCCGATGCCCCGCGGCTCCTCGGGCATCACGCCAGCAGACTCTGCAGCTAGGAGCCTCAGGGATTCCTAGGACAGGCCCGAGGGGTTCCCAGGACAAGACCTCTTATCATGCTGTCCACCACCCAGCTCTGCTCCCAGGGAAACAGCCGGAGGGCCAGGTGTTCCTGCCGCCCACGACGCCACCTGCTGAGGCTTCGGCGAAGGACCGTGTGCCAATGGGGATCCCGGGCTCCTTTCTACAAGACCCTCCTTCGTTCTTTAGTGTTGGTTAAGTCATTCTTCCCACCGTGTTTATTGACTGTCTACTCCGCGCAGAAAGACGTCAAGACTGGGCAAGGGGGGAGGCTGGGGAAAATCGGCATAAAAATCCCTGTTCTGCATTTATGGTAATAGCAAAATGGAAGCACAAGTGTTTATGAGTAGGTGGTTGATTAAATCAACTATATAGTATGTCCCTAAGAAGCAATACAAAGCACTGTAACAAAGATGAAGTTCTCTATAAAATGATATGGAATAATGTCCAGGAAATAGTTTCAAGGAAACAATGCTAGGTGCAGCCTATGTATATAATATTTTTGGTGTAAGTATGAAAATAAGACTATATCTGTACATATATGCACATATGTATATATTTGCATAAAAAATACTGGAGGACTAATCAAAATAGTGACTTACGGAGGTAGGGAAAACTGGATAGCCAGAGGCAGGAATGGAAATGAGACTTCTCTAGGTACATTTTAATATCATTTTGACTTTCAACCATGTAAATGATTGCCTGTTCAAAAGTTTAACCTAATTTAAAAGTCAACAAAAATATCTGCAAGGCTTTCAAATGTTTAAAAAAATTTCTACTCAAGAGAAAAATAAAATATCTGGGAATAAACCTAACCAAGGAGGTAAAAGACCTGTATGCAGAAAACTACACAACATTGAAGAAAGAACTTAGGGAAGACACAAACAAATGGAAGCATGTACCATGTTCATGGATTAGAAGAATTAACTTCATCAAAATATCCATACTACCCAAAGCAATTTACAGTTTCAATGTAATCTCTATTAAAGTACCAATGACATATTTCACAGATACAGAACAAACATTTCAAAAATTTGTATGGAACCACAAATAACCCCTAATAGCTGCAGCAATTTTGAGAAAGAACAAAGTAGGAGGAATCACAATACCTGATATCAAACTGTATTACAAGGACACTGTAATCAAAACAGCCTGGTACTGGCATAAAAACAGGCACATAGACCAATGGAACAGAACAGAGAGCCCAGAAATAAACCCAAGTCTCTATGGGCAACTAATATTCGACAAAGGGGGCAGTAACATAAAATGGAGTATAAATAGCCTCTTCAACAAATGGTGTTGGGAGAACTGGACAGCTATGTGCAAAAACATGAAACTTCAGCACCAACTTATACCATACGCCAAAATAAATTCAAGGTGGATAAAAGACAAATATAAGTCCTGAAACCATCAAAGTCCTAGAAGAGAACATTGGCAGGAAAATCTCAGATATTTCACCCAGCAACATTTTTACTGATATGTCCCCTAGAGCAAGGGACATAAAGGAAAGAATAAACAAATGGGTTATCATCAAAATTAAAAAGCTTCTGCATGGCTAAAGAAAACAGTATTAAGATAAAAAGGGAACCAACTGTTTGGGAAAACATATTTGCCAATGATACCTCAGACAAGGGTTTAATCTCCAAAATATACAAAGAACTCTCCCAACTCCACTGTAAGAAGACAAGCAACCCAATTAAACAATGGGAAAAGGACTTGAACAGACACTTCTCCAAGGAGAACATACAGAGGATCCAGAGACACATGAGAAGATGCTCAATGTCACTAGCTATCAGAGAGATGCAAATTAAAACCACAATGAGATACCACTTTCCACCAGTCAGAATGGCCATCATAAACAAAGCAACAAACAACAAATGTTGGAGAGGGTGTGGGGAAAAGGGGACCCTAGTTCACTGTTGGTGGGATTGCAGATTGGTACAACCACTATGGAAGACACTATGGAATTTTCTAAGAAAACTAAAAATGAATATGCCTTTTGACCCAGCAATTCCACTGTTAGGAGTATATCCTAGGAACCCTGAAACACCAATCCAAAAGAACTTACGCACATCAGTGTTCATAGCAGCACAATTTACAATAGCCAAGAGTTGGAAGCAACCTAGGTGCCAATCAGTAAATGAATGGATCAAAAAACTATGGTACATTTACACAATGGAATTCTATGCAGCAGAAAGAAAGAAGGAGCTCCTACCCTTTGCAACAGCATGGATGGAACTGGAGAGCATTACGCTAAGTGAAATAAGCCAAGTGGTGAAAGACAAATACCATATGATCTCACCTTTAATAGGAACCTAAACAACAAAACAAACAAGCAAGCAAAATATAACCAAAGACACT